ACAAAGAGGGCATGAGGGTTGAGTGTATACTCCCAATCTACGAAAGTATTCTGCCAAGCAATCGTGTCCGGTACGTAGTCTAAATTCATCAACGGCTTCGATTCTTGGCCAGTCGGGTATGTCAGGGAGTGCCACTGTCCACTGTTTCTCCTTTGTTCTAGCTTTCGGTTCGTTGCACCTTGAGGTCTGGAATCCTCACCTGATTAAGGTCTTCATTGTGTGGAAAGACATCGGTCGGTTGATTAAGGTCTTCATTGTGTGGAAAGACATCGGCCGGTCCTGCCTGTTATATTTGCAGAGTCATAACTCCTTATCTAATGGCTTATCTCAGGTTTAATACTCTGGCCAAGAATCGAAGCCGTTGATGAATTTAGACTACGTACCGGACGGATTGCCTGGCAAAACACCTTCAAAGATTGGGAGTATACATTGGCAGAATACTTTCGTAGATTGGGAGTATACACTCAACCCTCATGCCCTCTTTGTAACCTACAGGAAGAAATGGAGAAGACCCACCTGATTCGATGTCCAGCTCTAAAGACAACGACGGAAAGACAGAGATACTGGGAAGCAAGAAGACAGCTAATGAACTACTATTAATTAACTGCTATATATGTACCCCCCAAACATGAGGAAAGCTGAAGTCAACTAATGGGCTAATGATAAATATCATAATGCCTACCATTTAAAATAATAATAATAACCATATTGAGTACCCTAACCCTGCAATGACTATTGCTTATTGATTGGTCGTGAGGTTTCTGTGCTCTGATCTCGATTGCGTCCTACTTTGATCGGCTCCACAGCCGCTCGTTCAGGAAGTTCGAGCACTCATGAGATTTCCTAGTCATAAGTTTGTTACTGTTTTGTACTCCACAAGCCTATGCCCACATAAGGTCTTTTTTATCAAGCACAGTAAGTTAATTTAATAAAATTTTAGATTTATTTGATGGTTATAGTGTTTAACCTAAGTTCCAAGTCATTATAAACTACTTCAAAGGGCATGTGTCAGTGTGGTGGGAATTCAAGACTGGTGTTTTTGACACTTTTCATTTTCCGTGGCTATTTTGTCAATTTTGATTACTTGTTAAGTTTATTTATTCTTTTCATTCAAATGTGTTCAGGTTTATCCTGGGGTAAATAAGTTTCCAAATTAGATTAAGTGCCACTGGCAACAAGTCAAGGTTGCCTGCTACCCCTTTTCCCAATCCACCTTACTCCCAACCACCATTTGAATGCCTCAGTATTTGAGTGTACGCGTTACTGAGCTCTCATTTCAGAAGTCAAATGTCATGTGAAAGTTCTTTAATCCTTTACTTTATTCATATTTCCAGGTTTCAATATTAAAAGTTGATTTCCTTCGGTGATTGTACTAACCAAATCTAAAAGAAGCAAATAAAAAATCTATTTCAGAAAGCAATTTTGAACACAATTGGAAATTTATAATTCACTATGATTTTGAAATCCACTTGAGAAAAACCACTTGAAATTAAACCAAAAAATGTTAATAACTTTGGGCTATTAATTGCGGTTTGAGGATCAAACGACTGTAGTAGTACAATTAGATTAAAATTAAAAAATAAATATCTTAAAAAATTGCCATACTATGAATATTATTACTTTAAATCTAATTAATTGAATGTTTGATATTTTATAAACATTCATTTTAAAGGTAAGTTTGCCTACTAGGTTAATTTAATCGCATTAAGCGATTAAGCCATCAAAAATTATACCTACAAAATATTTAATTACATTACCAATCGCGTTCATTTATACGATTATTTCCACTCGAAAATTTTCCCACAGAAATGTCAGCAACGCGAGTACTTTTACATTAATTTTTCTATTGATGAACCCGAAAGTATTTTTTTTTAATTATGAATACTCACATCCCAAGTGACTAAATAACTCATTTCCAAGTGGCATGAGGGCGTCCAAGTGGCAATATTCTTTCAGTACGATTGAGTTTCCATAAAGTATCAAACTTGTTTATTTCCACAATGTTTGCACGTTCTACTCCTTCATCAATGACTGTGACGTTGTCGGATTAGTTTCTTTATAATAGTTAAATTTGTTAACTATTAATTAGTTTAAATTATAATTTAAACTCCAAACTTAAATTAGACAGGTACCAACTAATCAACTAATCTTCATTGACCACCTTCAACAAATCAAAAAGTATATCATCGAAAAGGAGCTAATATTAAAGTTATAAAAGTTTGGCATTTAAGTTAATCCATAAGACAAACCATAATGTGTTGAATATAAGATTTTGACATGACGAGTGGAATATTATGGGCCAATTTAATATTATGATTAAAAATAACATTTTGGGTGGACCTATTTTAATTGGTCATTACGATTATATAAACTTTTTAAAAAAATAATCTCTCCTACCTTGGTCGTCCAAAGATCATGTAGTAAGTATTCAAAGCCGCCATATATCGCTCCATATCTTTCGCTGTCTTAAATCTCTTTGGCAGATTAGTAGTATCGCTCTTTTTAAATCGACTTGGTACTTCATCCAAGTCACCATACTGGCTGCTGTCCAAGGCCTTCAAATCTCCTTCTGCCGGTGGATAGGGAAGTAAATAAGCTTCTGTGGAATATGAAATGTTTAGAAGGTAAATTGTTGTTATAAATGATATCAGTGAGAGTGGAGACATTGTGGAAGATGGAAATAGCGTGAGCGCACACCCACCCTCATAAGAGGTTATATACCGAACATTGACCAATCAGAATAAAGTTGAAACTCACTCAGATGGAAGTGGTAATTAGGGTAAGAGAATGAGTAAAGCATTCACCTATTAATTAATAAATAAAGTTTAAAATATGCGGCATTTTAATTACAACTTTATTGTTTTACATATTGTAGTAACTTTAGAAAAAAGCAGTAAATAAGTTAAATGGAGAACTGCTAGAAAAATAGCTTTCGTTCATACTTTTTAATTAATAGTTCATTTTTAATGTTTTTTTTAAATATCAGCAATTTTTTGATTACATAAATATTAAGATGTAAAATAAAGCCTGACGTGCTCACTCCAAATGAAAATTTGTTTATTTATTTATTTATTTCAAATTGCATGTGTTATGATAATTATCAGTAGGCCTTTAGCTGACTACGGACTTCACAGAGGATAGGAACATCAAAGTGAGAAAAATTCGAGGGGAGGCGGACAGAAGAGTGATTCACAGATGTAAAAGAGACAGATAGACACAAATACAGAGAAAAGGTAAGCTGAGTACTGTGAAAGTGGTGGAATATGACATACAGTGGGGCGAGTACTGTGAAAGTGGTGGAATATGACATACAGTGGGGTCATGGTAGTTAGAGTCTAGAATTGAACTGCCAATTTATAGACATTTTTGCCGTGTGAGTATACGTTGCCCAGGGTGAACCATGTAGAGGTAAGTCTATTTTGAAAATATCAACAATTTTTGATTACATGAATACTAAGAAGCTAATTAAAAAATGACGTGCTCGTTTCAAATGAATATAGCATTTGGAAGAATGGTTTAGCATATTGATGCGAAGATTAATATGAACGAGGCTGATTATCCTTAGAGATTAAACCTTGTTGAAAAAATATAAAGGGCATTTCTGTCATGTGACAAAATATACCCTTTTCAAATTTAGATAAATTAACTCGGATTATAAATCTTATGACTTCGTTTATTGGAGAGTGACGTAAAAGTAAGTTTAGTGATCTTTGTGTAGATTCTAGGCAAATCTTTTGCATCTTTCAAGGTAAAAAATCGAGAAAAAAACATGTTGCCATTACAAGGGAGTGCAGAGTATACGGTTAAACTAACCAATCTCATGCCCTCTTGAACATTCTGGGGTGTGCGATAGACTTACCTCCACGTGTTGCAAACTGGGCAACGTATACTCATACGGCAAAAAATCTATTAACCGATAGTTGACTTCTCACTTCTAATTACCATGACCCCCAAACTTCAGTTGACTTCTGACTTCAAATTTCTATGGCCCGAATATTTTTTAGTTGACTTCTCACTTCTAATTACCATGACCCCACTGTATGCCATATTCCACCACTTCACAGAACTCACCTCACTTTTTTTCTACATTTGTGTCTGTCTCTTTTGCATCTTAGAAACACTCTTATGTTCTCCCTCCCCTCTCGACATTTTGCACTTTGATGTTCCTACTCGCCTCTGTGAAGCCTGAAGTCAACTAAAGGGCTAATGATAACCATCAAAACGCCTGCAATTTGATATTAATGCATTCTGGAATGTGGGGAGTGATACTGATCGCATCAGGGAGCGAATGAGATCACGAGTTAATGGACCTCTCAATCAATCAATAATCAATTGGCTCATTGTATCCAAAACAGAATTTAATGAATAAAGTCTATGTTAATTTCTCATATCGGGAAGACACACCATAGAATTAGCACACAACCTCAGTTAACCCATTCCACTTCATGATTTCTCTTTCCCCAAAGTCGTTGAAGTAGCTTGGCTAACTTCGAGAGCCTTATAATACTACTATGGGTATTTGCCATGGAGACACTACTGAGGATAGGCCAAGGCTTACTTGTTGCAGAAGATTTATTTATTTCAATTGGCAGACGATATGATAGGTATCATTAGCTCTTTAGTTGACTTCGGGCTTCACAGAAAGGAAGATGAACATCAAAGTGGCAAAGACAGACCGACATAAAGGTAGAGAAAAGGTAAGGTAAGATGAGTACTGTGAAA